CCACTAGCAGTGAGGCATACAGTCACCCACAATTTATTGACACTGTGCACCTCCCCTTAGGTAACTAGCATAAAGATGCCAATAGGTGGCAGTAAATAGCAGTATACGTGCAGACCGGAAGGCCAGAACGGGTGGCATGACTTCTACAGCCATAACAATGTTTGAAGATAAGCAAGTTGCTTTTCTTCCCATGAGAATATCCTAACATTAACCCCTTTTTTCAAAACATATGTCAGCCATCTTTTTTTCCTCTTCCTTGACCTACAGAAATATTGGTATGCACAAACATATTTTTACTCCAGTATGATGTCTCTGTTGGTTTTGTGGAATATAAAAGACCTTAGATCTCTTTCCCGTATAATGCATATGCTTCCAAACTGGGCAATTTCAAATCCGAAATTGACTTTCAGTCAAGATGAGATTAGAAAGTTATGTGACTCCTCTTGGCTCCATTTTTAGTAATAGCTCTATTGTATTTGCTTTTGTTGATTAATCAGTGTTTATAGAATTTTCTTTTTTCCCCTTTTACTGGTTTTCTTTTTTCTCCTTTTACTGATTGCAAAAAATAAGCAGAGTACAAAAATACAAAAGATAATGAAAAAAAACCCCTAAGAACAAATAATTAAGAACAAATAAAACTAAACAGAACCAAGAAATAGAAGAAACTCCCCAATTTGTTTTATAAACCCAAAATTAAAAATAGCAATACTAAACGTCTAATATGTATTATATATATTTTTTGTAAACCAGAGATAGGTGGTAGGTAGGTAGGTAGGTAGATTTTTCACTGGTTTCCAAAAAATACATTATAATAGCTTATTGTCAACTAGAAAAAAATATTAAAAATTAGTTGAAAATACTGCCTTTTCCAAAACAGATAAATTACATATTTCCAAAAGTTAATCCTTAATGTATAGAATAATATCACTTTCTCAATTTCTCAGAATAATTCTTTTTGTAACCCCAGTGCCTGGTACAGCCAGAATTCCTCAGAGGCAGTCAGATTCCAAAGTTTTAGGATATAATTCAGTGTCACATTAACTTCTTTAATATTTAGGGATTTCTGCTCTAATGCATTTGCTGCATAAAAAACCCTTCAAGGCTTACTTAATATTTTCAAGTTCGAAAATTTATCTTTCTTGCTAAAGATTTTGAAGAATTTTAAGTATATTACGAACTTAAAAGTCAGCTAATTTAACAAAAGATTTGCTTTCATATTTATTGTGCACTGTAGAGAATGCTTAAAAAGGGTTAGCATTCAATCTCATTATGTTGAAAACATAAAATTTACTCATTTTGTTTTAATATCTATGTGCTTATGAATATGATATTACAGAGGTCAATATGGTTTAA